AACGTGTGGAGTGACAAGCGACTACAAAGGAAAATGTGTCATGGACCGGGTCTGTAGCTAGACCGTTATCGTAAAAATGTAGTTGAAATACAACTGTACAAGCCCAAAACATGAGGTAATAAGGTTTGTGTCTTTCTGTTCAGATCTAGCAAGGGAGCACTGAAGTAAGCAGGAATGAAGACCTTTCATGCCATTGCCAAGATGATGAAAAGCAGACAAGTGAGCCAGTTAAATGCATGACCAAGTAAGCTTCCAAGGAGTATCTCATGTGGAAGAGCAGCAAGATAGAGAAATACAACAGCACACATTCTTCAGCCTTCTGAATGCCTGGGGCCTACTGTATTATGAATTCATGAAACAAGCCTTGGTGATGTCATAACTGTAGAAAAAACCCAAAGTTACTGCTGCTTCCCAAAATAAGAAGCCGAAACATAGGCCTCACAGAACCACTATTTATAAATCTGAAGTACATTTGTACGTGTGTATAGGTTACCAAAGGCGTAATGCTCGAGGAAAAAGACTGGAACCCAGGCAGATTGTAGTTTTTTAAGTAAAGCACACATCTTTTCACAAGGTTTATGAAATCTTTCAGTTGTAATGCCTACTGCATAACTTTTCACTTTTACCATATCATCAAAACCTTGAGACATCCAGAGGTACATGTATAGTGTAGAGTGTGACCTTTATATTTTGAAGTATACATAAAAAGTTTAAATCTGTTCCAAAATTTCTTCAAACGTTTAAAAGAAGCTCATTTTACAAAGTTAAAGGTCTTTTTATTTTCTATTATGTTAGGAGTAATTTAATTTCAGGAAGCATTTGAATTCCTGGTTACAGAAGAATTGATTCAGATAATAACCAACAATCCTTTGTTGTCTGATGAAATCTGTATACAACTCTTTTGTTTGGCGATCTCAATAACACAGTGGTACCAAGATAATGCTTACTGCCTCTCCTACATATGCTGTTTTGAATAAAAAGTACTGAGATTTATGTCGACATTTCTACTGAGTTTGTTATCTTTTGCTCTCTATCTTTTTTTTACAACTCATACCCTGAGCAAACCAAATATCTACCCCAAGCAGGATTAAGTGAAGGTGCAATTTTCCTAGCAATGGAGGCCCCTTTGGTGGGAACGTGACTCTGCTGGTTCACAAACAACTGTGAAATGTACGTCATGGTGTGGCTATCAACAAAATGAACACTCCACCAACAAGGTTCCATTCAACCAATGAGGGGGAGCTGCTGCTCGAGGCGGACAGTTTAAAAAGAAATTTAAAGGTTAATGCTTTTACCTTGGTTGAATTACGGAGGTGCCACTCAAAACAGGCTTCTCTAATTAGTTTTAAAATGTACATGGCCTATTTCCCATCATTCAAGTACAACAGACAGACCTAACGCACGAAGTCACATCAATGACTTTGCTTATCCTATGGTTTATCCCTGTTATTTCCAGTTATAAGCTCAGCCATTGGACATTGCATTGTGCATGAATGTTACTGATGGACCACATGCATACCTGTGCTACACTGCAGTATATGCATGTGTGTGAACTGTTGGTTCCGAGCACCCTGGTGGCCAAAGAGGCAGGCGTGGGACCACTACAGAAATCACCTCTGTCCAGTTGGTTGAATAGGCTTGGGTTCATTATTTCTATCTCTGCACCAGTTTGACCAGGCACAAAGTACATTCACGCTAAATACAAGTCCATTCCAAAGAATCATACAGGATTTTTACAGAAACTAAGATGGTAAGGTTTTCACCCAAATTAATTGCTCCTACATATTATACATTGCCCGGTTGAACCAACCATTTTGTGTACAATCTCAAACTCTTTATGTGGGAAATTTCGTTCATTGGCAGCTAGAAGTACTGAACTGTTACTCGGACATGCAACTTGTGCTTTGAAAAATAACGAAAAAAATTCCTTTATTCCTCTTTACAAAACTTTATGCCATGTTTGTCTATTTTCAATGGCGTGAATGTGAAGTGATAAATGAAGAAATCAGCTGATCCGAGGAAAAGTTGCATGCCCGGTCACTGCAGTGTTTTTTCTCTGTTAGAATTACACTTGAAGCTGGCACATATTTTTACGTTATTTTTCTCACTGTTAATATTAAGAGGAACACCTGGTACGGTATTTTTCCTGTTTCTTGTTCTCAGCTGGTTATTTGATACGGACATAAATTTTTTCCCAGATTGAAAAAAAAAACTATGTTCAGGTTGAAACTCAATATACATGTAGCACCCCCCCTTTGAATTCTAGACCTGCTGTCAACATAGAATAATTTATTCATGCAGTGCATTTGATTGAATGACAAATATTTCACTGTTTAATCTGTAGATGAGACCTAGATTACCCTTTCACATAAATAGACCTAAGGTGCAGGATTTTACTTGAAGTTGACTTGCAGGACTTCACTGGAACGGACAAGTCGTCAAGCTATGACGATATGTTCCAATCTTCTTACTAATGATTTTGAATTACTATCAGACAATGTCATGCTGGTGTTCTACTTTGACAATTGTACATGTAGCTCTAACCACAGAAGACCAAAGTGAAGAGGAATTGGATTACATATGGTCCTGGTGTGAAAGCAATGTGAGAGGACAATTTATTCTCATTTATAGTCCGATAAGTTTGATGTATTTTTGTTAAATCTGAACAGAATTTGTAATCTGTTTAGAATGTGATTACCTAGTCAGAGTAGTATATGACCCATATACATGTACAGTATGAATGTCCCTCAAATCTTGCAATTTTTGCTTGTCAATGAAATAAAAATGATTTTGTAATGCATGGTGCACCTTGGCATTGCATTTATTCTACAAAGTGTATTGAGGGAAACATCACAAAAGCAAAATATATTGGAGTAAAATTAAAGGAATGTCCTGTTTCATGTCCATAATTGTACAGGTGTCCACGTATGTACAAGTTCCTTTCTCAATTCATTGAACAAAACTGATTCATACTGTAGAGAATAATCTCTATATTATTTCTGGGGGACACGTCTTCAGTAAAGATTTCCATGATTAGTTCTTAGCTGACTTAGCTAGCTTGACTTTCTTCTTTCGATTTCCTTTTGGCGACTCCATTTCCTGGTCAGCCACTTTGTGTCTCTTTCTCTGTGGACCTTCTTTGTCACTGCTGAAACAAAAAAAAAACTTCTGAAGATGTAAAGGAAAAAGTTGTTTGGGATTTCTGTTATGACTGCAGTAGCGCAAGATGATGTCTGATCTGAACTCACAAGCTGGTGTGTGCTGGGCTGTGGACAATACAGGTTAAGCAATTTAATTTAAATTTCAGTGGGGGCACAGACAGCAATTGCATATGCACACTTTAGTCATAGTGCTATTTCTGTTTGCTGCCTTCTGCGATGCAATTTCCATTCTGAATAATTCTCAAACCAAACTTGTGCTTACCAGCTGTCCTTTTCTTGTGAATGTGAGTGAAATTTTTTTGTAACAGTTACGATGAAACAGGCTAGTAATTGTTGAGAAAGCATTGATATGGTAAGGAAATGTGACTGAGCTTTAACTATATGATGCCAGGGAGACCGATTTTGGGTATGTGTTCTTTATACGCACAGTCGGGGAGCCCGAATTCGACAAAGGAGCTGGGCCTTGTCACAAAAAGACCGTACTCGGAACAAAAGACCCAGCTGCTGGAAATTGTCAACATTTTTTCAATTGTCAATAGCGGAGGAAATCAGTCATTGTTTTGAAAGATTATACCACTGTCTGTGGCACTCAGTGCAAGCTGATTACCACTGGGGACAAAAGCGCTCTAGCGCTCCAGTGGTGAGCGACACAATACCGCTGTACGTTAATCTGCCCTTATTGAAAAGACGCCAGTAGCGCACTGTGCCAATTTCGGGCACAAAAGAAAGTTACATAACACCGCACAATGTGGGCTCTTTTTACAAGGCAGCAGGCCTGGCTGAAATACTTGGGCTGCTTGAAATACTTGAGCGTCAATAGATGTGGTCTGTCAGATTAGAGTAGCCACCAGACAGTTATTCATGTGGGTGTAAATCACGGACGTGTA